ATAAAAAAAGTTGTTTGATGCAAACATGTGATGTGCAAGTTACAAAGACAGTTACAGACTCACAAGTCTGTTGGTTAGTTAGATTTCCAGTACAACAGTAAAAATGTGCTCGTCTTTTATTAAATTCTTCGACGTCCTAAATCTCATCCAACAAAACGGGGGAGAATAGTAGATTTACAATACTTATTTTGTTTTAAACCACATGTTACGTACACAAACCGTGAAAAATGAGCATGACCAGCATATTACTATGCTTTTTTTTTTTAACATTTTACTTTAATTACAAAAAAAAAATCGCTTTGATAGTAATAAAAAGTATCAAAATTACAATAAAAATCTTATTTCAAATAATAACAGCAATTGACGCTTAAAACAAAAGTCAATTTAAATAAAAAAAAATGTTGAACAGAAACATTCTGAATTGAGAATACACAAGAAAATGCTTTGATATTACTGAAGACATGAAACTATATATCTCTATATATAATTTTAGGAGCAATGGCTTGTTGACAAAAAGTTAGACACCAATCTATATTTCCAAAATTTTATTCCGTGTGTAAAAGATATTCCGAAACGTTCCTGAAAACAATCTGAGCTAGGTTCACATCACTTTCCAATGCGAATATCTCGGCAGACGATTCCATCACTTTAGTGGAAAATAAATCTGAAACAAGGCGTCCGCCATATGCGTCTCAGGTGCAGGCGTTGACAGGTAAACGGCGCCTCGCCACTGGCTGCAGCTTTTGTAGGTGGGCGTGGCCATCCTCTGCATAAGTAATCAGGGCGTGGAGAGAAAGCCAGCGCGCGCCGTCCCCCCTAACCAGAGCACCCCTCCCCCCCACCCAAGCGGAAAAATTTTTGAAGAAGTGTCCCTCAACCGGCTGGTGACACATCCCTTTTTATTGGCGAGAGCGCCAGCAAAGCGCACTTACCCAAATTAAAGCGCGTCCGCTCCAGTTCGTGGTGGAGGTCGGTTGTTGTATTTTTGGACGGTGACCACCAACTACCATCATCATCACCATCGGAAGGAACGCGTGGCCAGCGGGCATGTCCACCATGGTCAGCGCGGACGGAAATCCACCCAACGCGGACCTCCTGCTAGCCCTGCTGGCCCGAAACAAGGCTCTAGAAGGTTTGCTTTCGCATTTCTACTAACCATCCAGTCCGGTTGTAAAACGTTTTTTCTTCTGCTTCAATCCGGCAAGCCGTAATTAACTTTAGACTCTCCGCTGTGGCAAGGATTCTTTCCCTCTCCCCCCACCCACTCGTCTACCCCCTCTACCTCCATCCCCCGTTTAACCGTTCGTTGTATCCTTGCATGCACTTAGCCAAATTGAAGTTGCTTATTACTGTGAGACTTGATCAAATTAGCGATCTATTGGAAAGGAGACCAAACAACGGGGGTGGGTAGCAAGGCCCGGGTACACACACAAGGCGAACCACCGCTTTTCCCTTTGAAATGATTGAGTGTGTGCGATTGTTTCAACATGGCCAGCAATTATCGTTCCAGCTTCTCGCTTTCATCGATATTTCAGAATTAAAACTGCATGACTCTTGGCTAAACTGGTTTTCCTTTGGAGTTCGTCGTTGTCGTTAGCTTGTTTATTTGTTGTTACTCCCACCCCCCTTCTCCTATTTTAATCTTCAGTCCTGGTATCCGATTGGACTAGGACATCAAATATGCTCGAGATGCCGCAAAGATAGAAAGTGTCTCCGAGACTCTTCTGTTGTCCACAACGCAACTTTTTCGTCCATCCGTTCAAATCTACTATCTTCTTAACCACAAGTTTTTGCACTTAAACACTAACATCGTTCTTAAACTATAAAAAAGAATTATGCTATCGAACATCATCCAGTGTTGCAAACACTACGATGCTAAATGTGCCTGAACTTTTATTCGCAATAATAAACTTCCTCCTACGAAGTACTTGCATGAATACACGCGCTTACGTCAAAAATCAGTGGCTGCATCACGTTCTGCAGAGAATCTTTATAGCAATATTAAGTAAGTAATACATTCCAATCAAGAAAAACAAAAAGGAATTGGGATTATACAAAAGGGAAGCAATCCTTGCCACGGTTTATTTCCTAGTTTTGAAAAATTTCTTTTTAATTCTTAAATTTTCTTTCATGCTGATTTATCGCCAGGTGTGTTGATTTTTTTTTTCCGGATTATGTGCATTGTTTCCTGTAGTTTTTTTTTTTTTATTTAAAAAAAAAAAAGGAATGAGAATTATAGACGTATAGAATGTGAGGTAAGTTTCAATTGATTTGTTTGGAAAATTGAATGTCTCCATATCATTACAATGTTACTTATGACTACCTTTGTAAAATAGAATAAATAACTTAACAATACTTTTCAATAAACTAAAAATCAGCAAGTAATTACATTAATATTTAATATAAATTTCAAACTGTAATTTATATGCATATTTTACTACTATATGATTATTAAATTTTTAAACTTTGATTAGAGACTTTCTTAAGACAGTACTTTTGCAGAAATTTTTAATTGTGATTTTCCCTCCATTTTCCCAATAGTTAATTCTAAATTCACGAATTTTATAATTATGATATGTAATTTAATTTTTCTAAAAAATAAATTAATTCAGACTACGTTCGTTTTTTCTTCTTCTTCATTAACATTTCAAATTATTGCTTTTTTTATGTATATTTCTTTTTTTTAATGAATATTTCCATATAGTTAGCCTATTTCGGTATTTGAAAGAGAGTTTTTAACTACTCTTTAAATGGATTTTAAAACTATTTTTATTCTAATTTTCTTAAAAAATTACTTGGCGAAGCAATTTATTTCGCTGTTTTTTTCTTGTTGCTTGCTCATTATGCAAATTTTTCATTTGTTCATTATGCTTGTTCATTATATACCTTATTAATTATGTTTTCATCGTTACGGTTTTTGTTAAATTTATTTTTTGTTAATTTTATTATTTATCAATAAGTTAATGCTGCTTTTTTCAAAGATTGATTTCTTCGAAAATGTTCAATATAAAGAAATAAATAATTAAAAAATTTATATTATCTATTTTTTATTTTCAAAACTATTACCTCTGAATAAAAGTTTTCACAATCTCTATTAAATTACAATAATAAATTTCTACTCTCAATTTATATTTATCTTGAATGATGATTATTTTTTCTGATTATTAAATTAATTAAAAGCTCATTTTATTTTAATAGGTGGTAACAATTATAGAGAAAGTTGCTATTTATTATTTTAAATTTATATTTTATTTGCCGATTGTGATAAAAAAAATTTAAGTGACTTTTGAAAAATTTCTTCCTATTATATGTCCTTATTTTTCGTGACTACTCATGTACTGATCGCTGAAACTCATTGAATGTACTCATCGCTGAAAGAAATTACATGGAATTTTAAATAATGTATATATTTTTCTTGATATTATGCGTAAATTTCATAATTTTTCTGAATTGTTCAGATTTTAAAAGATTAGTATTTTGAAGGGAACAAAAAAGTAAAACGAAAAAATTATTTTTTAATTATATCTGAATATATCACCTTAGAAGTTGAATGACCCGCTAAAAACTTATTAAAACTTTAAGTTATCTGCTAAATATTTAATTTCTGTAATGTATAAGACAGTTTTAATTGAAAATAAACAAGGGAGAAATAAATAAGAAATTTAGAAAATAAAGTTTTATGCCACATTATAGAAGAAACTAGTCTTAAATATTATATTTTACATGCAAATAAGTTTCGCAAACTTTTGAGAGAAACTTTTTTATGAGGAAGAGAAAAAGAAAACGCTAATAATAAGAAACTTATTATGTATTGCATTTTAAACTCGTTTATAATAGCTTTTAGTTATAACTAGGTAAAATAAATAATTTTTCGTTTTCTTTCTTTTTTTCCCCTTATATTAAAAGAATTTTATTGTTGTCTTAACTGAATTTGTATCCGTTTCATGGTATTTTTCATTGGAAAAAAAAGCACATTACTTTGTTAGTGGAAGTGGCCTTTAATTACGATATAGTGAAAGGGGTAAGTTTCTTAGCAAAAATAAATTTGACTGCGGTTGAAGATATTAAATTTTAAAGTGAAATTTCCTCCAATAGATTTTTTCAACTTTAGCACTGTCAATAGAATTTTGTTGAGATCAAAATAAATAGAAAATTTCTATATTTTTTCGAAATTACTTCAAAAAGTTTATCTCTAAAATAATTCTGTTACATTATTTATTCATGAATAGCAACAGTTTCTGCGTAACGCAGACTGACGGGTGTGGGAAAAGTAAAAATTAGACCTTTTTTTTTAACGTTCCAGAAAAAGAACTAAATGATGAAGTGCAAATTTAATAGTTCATTAATAATATACTAAGTAATTTTAATTGATAATATATATTATATATTATCTAAAGATTTTCACGGAAAACAAGTATTAAGTCACAAAAGTAGAAATAATTATGAAGGTTTTAAATTTTTCTCAAAAGAGAATTCCTAATATTATTCTCAGAATTATATTCTTTTTCGTAATTAAATGAAATGACATAACTTTAATACCATTGTTTAAATGTAATAGTTTAGTAGTATTAAAAATTTAAAAAAAGTTTTAACCCCTTACTAAGTATTGCTTTCAATTTTGATTTTATATTATATAAAAGGTAATCCTCTTTTGATTAGGTAATCCTAGATGTAAGCTAATGCATATGATATGCAACCACCAAAATTGCACGGGTACACAGAATCTCAATCTTAGGTTATAAAATTTTGTATAACCTATGGTTATAAAATTTTGTAACTTAAAGTTCCACAAGAAATAGTAATATTGTATAAGTTTTTAAAGGCACTTCAGCTTTGTTTACGAGAAATTATTTTACCGTGAAATAATTTTCGATTCCCCCTCAAATTGTATAAGGGAATAATGTTTTGAAGTAATGTAAACAGGTCTTTAACCTAGAACTTCATATCTTATTTATTATTATTATTATTTTTTTAATTATTTCTTTTCTAAGCGAGAACAGAAAATTTATTTCACTATGACTAAAGAAACTGATGATTCACTATTCCATATAAGTGAGAGTATGTTCTTCTGAAGAAAATTCTTTATGCTGCGTTACAATTTCACCACTGTGCTTGTAATTTTTGTCATTAAAGCTAATAGATGGAAGAGTAAAATGTGTTAAACCAATCTGTGTGAAGGGGGAGGGTGGCATGAAATGTCATTAAATATCATTTTCATTCATAAAGTAGACAGCTGGAAAAGTCCGTTTGTCCTTGGATATAAACAGGAAGTTTTCTTCAGCCTTGTCGGTGTTTGAGAGATAATTTCATAGGAATTTGAGAATAAATGTTTTCTCAAAAAAGAAGAAAAAAAAACATTTAATCTTTAATTTAATACAGGGAAAAGTTCTACCTTCCTTTCAAAGGTTATTCTGAGAAAGTGATATTTCTAATTCCCCTTTTTCGTATTATAAAAATTTAAACAAGTGAGGACTAATATTTTTTTGCTTCTTTGAATTTCATTAGGGCACTTCTCAGAAAGTGGGAATATTAAATAATGTTTATAGGAGTTAATGCTAAATTCTATTAGTAGTTATGTTACTTGTACTAAATATCCACAACTTATGCAATATACTGTTCGATTCAAATGAAAATTGACATTGCAAAAATTTTATATTGTATTTTAAGGCAACAAATTATCATAAATAATTAATGAATGAAAAGGAATTATCGTGGTGGCTTGAGTAACACTTTTTGTTAAAATGCTAAGTTTCACATGTAACAAACGGCAATTTCGTAACAGAAATATTTTCTAACAAAAAAAAAAAAAAAAAAAAAAANAAAAAAAAAAAAAAAAAAAAAAAAAAAAAAAAAAAAAAAAAAGGAAACAAAACATTTAAATATTGAAAAAATCATTTTAAGGATGAATAAATAAGTTTAAAATACTTTCTTTTTTTTATTCTTTTGCTTTACTTTATTTATTTATTATTATTATTTATTATTATTATTTATTTTTTGTTAAAGTACGAGAGGGGTTTTATAAATAATTTTTTTGGACATGCATTAAAACACTAAATATATTTTCATAAAAATCTTTAACGCAGTATATTAATCTAATGTGCTAGAGTATTAATAGTAAGATAATGATCACAGAATATGCTTAAATACATTGTATTTCTGGATCTATGGGAACACCAAAAAAGCTCATTGGTATTTACCGAAGCTCATTAGTAATGACTTTGATAAAATTACAACAATAATGTATGGTTTTATAACTTGCGAGGAAATTTAGTAAATGTGAAAATTTTAGTTATTTCAGCGTGATAACCTTAGAGCATGGCATAAAAACGATTTATTCGGTTGAATTTAATTTTCAATTTTGTATTTTTTACTAAATGTGAGGTAGAAGAACTTTGTTTAAAAAATTTTTTTTAACGATTTACTAAATGCTAGGATAATGTTTATATGTTTAGTTCACTAGTCCATTCACAGCAACTGAGATTGACTGGTTGAAGGCAACTAGCAATTATCAAGTAATTCTTTCATAAATTCTGTGAGAGCAATGCAAGCAAAAATTATTAATGTACCTAAATAACGCTGATTAAACACAGTTTTAAATACTATCAGTAAAAAATGATTACTACCTGATATCCATTATTAGTTTACGTGGAAAACTAAAATGAAATTGTAATTTTTTTTACTTCCCTCTAAGGGAAACTCATTTTAAAATCAATGACATAAGTATTAACTTTGAATTATGCAATTATGCTATTTTAATTTCAATAAGCATACCCCGAGGTGCAAAATAAAAGGAACAAAACTTTCATAACTTTTGTAACATAGAAATAATATTAGTAAAAATAATATTAGTAGAAATATTAGTAGAAATAATATTGGTAGAAAGAATATTAGTGGAAATAATATTGTTATTAAATTTTTATTTCCATGGTTTACTATTTTTTAAAGTTCTGTCTGAACCATTAGTAGAAATAATATTGGTAGAAATAATATTGGTCTGAAAGTTTT